CGCAGTTAGGTGACATGTAGAGAAGACACGTTATGTAACAAAGGAACAATAGTGGAATACTAAGATACATTTGCAAACAAAAGTTGAATATAAATATTTTTGACATCAGATAGACTATTTGGAACAAATATTCACAGGCAAACTATAAACCACTAGTACGTAAAACAATTTTTACCAAATAATTTATATATACATTGTAAAAATAACTTCCCTAGTTCATGTATATGCCTTTTATTTATATTTCCTGTCTAACGTCCTATATGACACACATTTTCCAACCCGTATTATTAGAGGAAAAATAAAAAAAAAATAATTCGTCACTATTATGAATCGTTTGTCAATAATTGGCTCCAGGTTATTTAGGTTTTTTAATTTAATTCGGTCTTGAGTTTTTTGTGGTTTGTAAAACAATGATAGTTTGAAAAGTCTTTGGAGTTAGCTTTTGTTTATTTAAGTAAGAGGGGTAGTATTTTTCATTTGTATAAATAAATAGTTTTATATAAATAAATATAAAGTAGTATAAATAATAATAATAATAATAATATAATATAATAATAATAATAATATAATATAATAATAATAATATAATATAATAATAATAATAATAATAATAGTATAAATAAGTATAAAGTGTAGTTTGTATAAATAAATAGTTTTATTTATTTATTTTTACTTTATTTATTTCATAATAAATTATTAAAGTAAATAAAGTAAGTAATAGTTCATAGCCTACAAAATTGACCCTAATTGAACAAAAATTTGCGAATCTTGGTTAGTTAAAACTAACAATTTTGTTTGTAAGCGTTCCTCAATAAAAAGCTATGAATGACTGACTGCCGGGCTCGTAACTAGGGACCTACAGACGAGGTCTCGGCCTTACAATGAAATAATTACACATTAATGTCAAGATGATACGTCAGCCTCAATGTTGCCGCCAAATTGCAAAATGGCGTCAAAGTTCATCGAGGTCATTGAGTTTCGACATGGCCATGATCAAGTTATTGGACATAAATATTCTAGGGCAAACGGTCGTATATTTGATTAGATTTTTGTCTGATTTATTTAAGAGTAGAATGAATCTGTTCTAACCCGATATAGTAAATTTAAATAATGATCCAAAAATGTTGCGAAGATGTAGTTACAGCCTGATATTTTTGCCAACATTGATGTTTGAGGTATGGCTTTAGGTGTTTGTTGTTATGCTTTAAAAAGTTAGTTGTTTTATGTTTAAAGCTTAATTAAGGTTTTATGCCATAACAAGTAATAAAATGATAATTTAAAATTAACTAATCGACCAATCAGTTACCATTTGTAATTGAATTTCGTCAGATAACGTTTAGGTGGTGTTTAAAGCTCAATGACAATTTAGTTACATCTTTCCTATTCATGCAATGGACTGTTTAATGGAACGTTAGTGTAAGTTAGGAACAAGTCCCTAATACAAAACCCAAACGGAATAACTACAGTGTGAATTGCAAATTTACTTTGAAATTAATTTACAACTGAATTCCACAGATACTTTCATCAATAATTTAAAGACATTTTTAACATGTAAAAATACTAACCGGAGAAATTTTAAAGATAAAAATGGTCATGTCCAACTAACATTAATGAAATAAACTCAAGAAGATAAACAAACAAATTAGGCCTATTGATGCTTACGAACGTAAGCCTAGCTAGCGAATTCACTGCTGTGTTTATTTGGTCCACGGGTGGTTTCAATTAGTTCTGATCGTATTTGCGGTCTACCAGTGTTACCAACCAACAAGCAATAGACATCATGTCAAATGTCACATGACACACTGGCAATTGGCCAGTGACGCAAGTGCGACATGCTGACGAGTTCCATTCAAACGCTGCGTAAATTTTATACAATCCGCAGCGTTTCAAGCAAGTTGTTGTGATACATGATTTCAGTCAGGACCTCTCTCCTAATTTATTAGAAATTATGTTGTGTCCTAGACAAATATAATTAAATATAGATCGTCAGGAGTGCTGCGGTTAGCATAAATTCTGGTTCTGGCGTCCACCGCTGCGAGCGCCGTGTAGTTACGTATCTCGTGCGCCACAACTACACAGCGCTCCCAGCGGTGAACGCCAGAACTTATGCTAACAGCAGCACCGCTGACGGTCTATATTTATTTATGTTTGTCTATGGTTGTATTAACTACTTTATTGACAATTAGTCTCAGATGATCCTATTGCACTAAGTTGTTAATAAAGACTACTGAACGATAGAACATTTACGATTGTTTGAACTTGTAACCCCATCAAACAACAGTCTATGTTTGCTTATTAACTCATTCGTTATACGAGAGTATTCAAATGATCATTCGTAACTAGTATTATTGATGACAAACAGTCAGCTGTTATGAGGCATTGTTGACTCTCATTCAATGATACCGACTGTTATCGTGTTATATTTACTGTCAACGATAGGCAAAGAAAACTGTATAGTACACACACTTTATGAGGTTATATTTCAGGCTTTATTATATTTTATTAGGTTTGGGTATTACGCATTTGGTACATATTAGAGGAGAGTACATTTTCATTTTTGGTTTGTAAGTTTGTAGTAAGTACCAGGACTCTTCACGACCCCTAAGAGTGAAACTGATTATACAAAAAATATTTACTCACAATGTTTATTATAAAGACTCAGATAGACAGTGTTTTTGCTAATTGTTTTGCTAAAAGCAGAGATAACCCCGACTTGAGATAACGTGACCTCTCTACGTGCCCAGAGGTCGTCACGCTATGGTGATAACAATGATAACAGTGATACGAGGGAAAAGTGGGCGTCTTATCTGACAAAGACAGCAGCTGGAGAAAACTGGGAACACGGGGTAGTTGTAAACATTTCTATTGAATACAGTACAACTGCAACTAACTGATTGTTGAAGTGTATGACCTTCACAGGGGCTTACTAGTTAGTACAGTAGAAACTTGATAACAATACTCTCATAGGGTAGTTTTGAAGGGTATTTGAAAATTACACTTGTTATCAAGGGTGACTTGTTATCGGCGGGCTTGTTATCGAGGTTCTACTGTATTGGGTTTCAGGCTGGGGATAAATTTATTAAGTAGGCCTAAATAGCTTTAATTATATGAAAAAATTGATACCTTATTGGTAGAGTGATACAAGTGTACAATAGAAATCGTGTTTGTATGGGTTGAAATTCTGAAAAAAAACTTTATTGTCTATTACGTCTTCAGGCAAATCTGGATACTGGACAGGTCAGAAATATGATTCTTGTAGCCTATATAGATATTACTAGACATGCATTCCCATTTTCATTATAAATTAAAATATGCAAAAAATGATGTTTTTTTTTCAAATAAATATGATTAGGCCTTTAAAGCTTATTATATTAATGTGCACATAGAATATACATAAGTTGTATTGGGCCCCCGAAATAGTTTATTACCTAGACAAACTTAAATTAACGCTCAAAGCTGGGATATATTTTATGCCACTTCAACTCTTACAGCTGGCTAAAACTAAAGGGAGGAAAATACTTATTTAATTGTAGCACACTCTGAGACGGACTTAATCAAATGTGTTATTTTTTTTTTATTAAAAATTTGGTTACAGATGGGCCATAAATGGGATATCTATTGAGTGCCCAAAAGTCAAAGGTAAGATGTACCCATTTTAGTACAAGCTTTTGATAGCCAGTATGTGTTGCGATGATTGGTTGAAACTGTACACAAGCAACAACGATGCAACAATGTAAACAGCTGATTTATAATATGTAAGAGATAATGAGATTCGTACGGATAAAATAAATCAAACTGTACTTTTGTTTCACCTAACTGGAAGGTAAAATTGAATAGTGTAACACTTTAGAGCACAATTGTTAAAACTATCACGTCAAAATTGGAAATCGACCGATTATTAGTTAAACGCGAAAGGGTTTAACTGTTTAACAATATAATGGGGAGGTAATGACCATCTCTTTCTGATGGGATGATGGGACGCACTTAAGCCCATTCACATTCACTCTCCCTTTACAGTTAGGTTCAAATTGGGGGTAGCGCCGCCACACCACTCCCTCTGCGATCGATCTTTTTGGAATAGGCCTAACCTTGTAGGGGTGGCTTCCATTCATAAAACTACACTCAAGGGCTGGAGAGGTTTTATTACGTAAACATTCTAGTTAAAAAGATCCCTAGCGTGCTGGTTAACAAAAACACATTTCACGTATGGAGTAAGCAGAGCAGACAGCTAATTCCCATATTAATAAAGTAAACTTGTCAACACGACATATATTATCTTATTGTCATTCAGTATGAAAAGTGTATTAGAGAGACTTTCAAATGTGTTTTAACAGCCAGTAAATTGGAAATAATACGTAGGAAGATTTATTAGCTTATAGAACAGCGATCCCGTACCGCAGCGATAAAACATATTGGAAACGGTGTTTTCTATTGTCAGTTCTTATCGTAACTTTTTTTAATTAATTAATTTGTATAAAATGATTTTAATAAAGACAAACATAGGTCAGCACTGTACTGACAATATATTCTATGTACAATATTGCCATCTAATCAGCACACACCACGAGGGTCAGGGGACTAATCAAGTTAACAAATTAACACCTAGGGTATAGGCGTGCAAACATAAATTACGAGAACTTTAAAAGCAAACGACGGTTTGCAGCAGTACAAATTCGATGATAAAAGAAATCGTTACAGTGTTGACACGACAAGAACAAGGTGAAAAACGGATGCACATCACAACGTCCACAAGGGACATTGATATTGTGTACGTCAAAAGCGCTCAATTTCTTTTTGGGGATAAAACAACCAATTATGTGCGAATAACTTACACTACCAAAGTTATAACATGATATCTTCCTTCTGGAGACTAATATTTAAAATCTTTTGAGATAAAATGTCTTTTTCAGGAACAAAAACGGTGAAAACTCCACATAGCATTGTTGTAAATTCAAACTGCTCCACAAACTGTTATCAAGTGATAAGCAAAACAAACTCACCTTCCCAGCGACCCCGCGGTGCGTGATGTTCCCCTGCCAGAACTTGCGCGCGTACCCGCGGATAAACCCCGTGACAGCGTGGTCAAACTCGAACCCCGGGTGCCAGCAGAGGCTGCCGTACCCGAACACCCACAACGAGCTGTTAGACGACCGCCTCCGAGCATCCATGTTACGTTTGACTGGTCTCAATACATTCAAAGGTTAGGTACGGTTTGCAAACACCACTCCGACACTCGCCACCGCGACCAGAACAGCTGATGTGACGGCGACAGCGCGCCGAGCGGCCACGCGCCGAACTGACGGCTGACGCAACGTCACCGATGTTTTCGTCGACCCAGTTACGATTGCGCGGGAAATTTTGCGAAACCAAATGAGCTTTTGGGTAGAACATGAATGTTGAGAGTAATTTTTGAAGGAGAGTTTTTATTCTCTGCTAGTAGAGTGAAATCAGTGGATGATATGGATCTTTTAAAAGTGCGATGATACGGAGCTGATAAACAGTCCAGGATTGACTCCAAATCCACCGTATCAAATTATGACCAAGCTATGGCTCAAATAATAGTTCCCTTAAATTGATATTACATGACAAATGAACTCAACTCCAATACATATTTCAATGTACATCAATCAGGAAGCAAGCATTTGCCTTCCAAGTAAGTAAGAACAAGTCAAACTCCATTGGCCAATGAAAAGAGAGTTCCCCCCTTTTACAACAATTGCCAATGGATGTGTAGTTGCTCTTCAGTTCTAAACTTTTGAACTTTTATTTTTATAACTAATTAGTGATCTTATCTTAAAACACTAAACACACATGGTGATTGGCAAGATTTGAGGACATTCATCCAGGATATTTCGTGTTCTATTTACTATTTACCAGATCTCTACCAGCACTACTAAAGCGCAAACATCTATAAAGTGAAGTGGCTTCTTTCATAATTTATTTACATTTCATAGTCTAACGAAACGATGCACCTTACATTTCTGTGTAAAAGGCATCATTTCAATTTTTTTTTAATATACTGATGTACTCACAATTTTGACAGTTTAAACAAATAGGATCAATATAAAATTAAAATACGCAAACTTAAATGCAGAACTTAAAAATTCACAGCAGCCTTACAAAATTGTATACTGTACTTATAAAATGCGTTGGCTTTTGTAGGAAAATGCTTATGAGAAAGTAATTACACTCATATTTTGTTTGAGTCGTTATTTAGTATATAAAACTACAACTACTGTTTGTACCGTGATTATGATATTTCAAAAGCAACTGGAACTTCCTCTGGAAATTGCGAAGAAACATTTAGTACGTAACCGATCAATCAGCACTACAATTTAGACAATTTTGGATACAGTCGAATGTTTTTAAAATAAAATAAAAATTATTTTGACCTGTGATGTGAAATCATGTGTCAGAACGTAGAAATTCGATATTTTAAATGAGGACAGGAGTGAATGTACAATTCGCTTGATTACTTATCACACAATATAGTAATTTGAACCCACGCTTGGACCTGCTGATATGGTAAAAAAGTACTTGTAAACAGATAATAGGTTATGTAAATACTTTTAAACTAACAGTACAGTTATTTTTATACAAGATTAAATTTTGTTTCTGAGTAATTTGTTGAAAAACTTTAAAAATGTAACTCTTAGAGCAGTAGTCATTGGATTATCGAATTATCTTCACCGATTCAAAAGTCTTGTTAATTGATCGGAAAATATTTTGAGAACATAACAAATAATTTATAAATAAAAAATACTTTTTAAAAATACAGTAACACGTTTTTAAACGCACTAAAAAGTATAAAATAATGTTTAAAATGTTGAGAGAATAAATACTTGTAAGATTTAAAACTAAAAACGTGGGGCGCACGCTGATTTACAATTATCTTCACCTATTGAACTTTTTCGTTTTAAATCTTACAAGTATTTATTCTCTCAACATTTTATACATTATTTTATACTTTTTAGTGCGTTTAAAAACGTGTTATTTTTAAAAAGTATTTTTATTTATAAATTATTATATAGTTTTTAGTCTTTAATTTGTAAATATGTTAAATCTATTTTATATAGCCTCTTTATGCATAACCAAAACCCAAAACCTTATTATCTGTAATCAGATGTTTTATCTTTACTTTGAAATGATTGTTTTATATTTTTAGAATATCTCGGGAGCAGAACCTGTACCTTTTAACCTCTGCTCTTCTAACTGTCAAATTTAAGTATATACAGCTGACTTAAATTAATTTATATGTTTACATTCTTTTAAAATGTAAACATGGAAAATTTGGAAGCCAAAGGGGCGTAGCCCAAGGGAAATATGAAAATTAAATTATATAATATTGCATTGTCATCCATTTGTGAGCTATGTTTCAAGTTTCAAGTCTCTAGCTCATTGGAAACTTCGTTTATTAAAATTGATATTAAAATTTGTAGGAAAGCGAGCTAATAAAAACAAGCCCTTGGGGCGTAGTCCAAGGGAAATATGAAAATTAAATGATATAATATTGTATTGTCATCCATTTATGAGCTATGTTTCAAATTTCAAGTCTCTAGCTCATCGGGAAGTATCAAAATTTGCAAGAAAACGATTTAATAAAAACAAGCCCATGGGGCGTAGCCCAAGGGAAATATGAAAATTTAATGATATAATATTGCATTGTCTTCCATGTGAGCTACGTATCAAGTTTCAAGTCTCTAGCTCGTCGGGAAGTTAGTATACAATTGATTTCAAAATTTGTACCAGACAAGAAAGCGAGCCAATAAAAACGTTTTAAAATAGAACTAACCATTTCCATTTTAAATTGAAAACTATTATTAATAGCCTACCCTAAAATACCCCCCGGGGAGTAGGTCCCTATATTGGTATAAAGCAAACACAGCTCCATGTAACAAATTCACAAGGTTCCTGGTTAAAACATGCTTCATATTTACGTTTTATTTCCTTACGATATCCTGATTCGTAAAATAGTATAATTATTATGTTATACAAGTAGAGAGTAGTTAACTCACATTTATTCATTAACTAGCTGTACCCGCGGGCTTTGCCCCGTTTAACTTCATATGTGAGCTCGTTCGCATGGCTCAATCACGTCCTGGTTGAAGTTCGTTCGCTACGCTCACTCACCTTTAGGTTGGAGCTTGTTCGCTGCGCTCACACGTCCTGGTTGAAGTTCTTTCGCTACGCTCACTCACCTTTACGGTTGAAGCTCGTTCGCTGCGCTCACTTGCCTTCAGGTTAGCTCGTTCGCCACGCTAACTCGCCTCCGGGTTGAAGTTCGTTCGCTGCGCTCACTCACCTTTTGGTTGCAAATTAGCTGTTGTCATAAATTTAAAAAAATAATAGTGCTGCACTCTGTTGGTAATCCTAGTAACTTTAATGCTATTGAACATCACAGAACAGAACCAACTTGTTTAATTGAAACAGCTGTTATGATTCATTAATTCCATTTAAATATGAGTACTCATTAGGTTAACATGGGAAACTCCAGAGCCACTGGGGTGGAGCCCGAGAGTCCGATCAGAATAAAAACCACTCAGTTTTCCTATTTAATGCCTAAAGAATCAGTGTACCAAATTTCAGCCTCCTAGGTAAGTGGGAAGTGGGAGAATTAGTGATGAGTGAGTCAGTCAGTCAGTGAGGGCTTTGCCTTTTATATATATAGATACTAACAATGATAATTCAGTAACGCCACTACATGATCAGTTCTGACATTTAGTGGTAAAGGTGTATGGCCACTTTCCCGAACATGTGTCTGAACAGGGAATAGCTTCAAAACGTGATGACAATAATAGTTTGGCTCGACAAGGCTTCATAGCACACGTCACGTGATCAAGACGTCTCCCGTGACGTCACCACGGGTTACGGAAGTCTTCTACGTGCTCGTGAATTGAAAACGTGTATTTAAACATATGGTGAATGCTCAAGGCCAGTTTCACGACGATATTATAAATTTCTGACCCTGAATTTGATTGAACCATGACATAAATATAAAACTATTTTAACGTAAAACATAAATATGGTTATCTAGTGTGTTTTTTGTTTATTTATGAAAACATAAATGTGATTTGATGCTATTTCTCGTTACATTTTGTAATTACAGTAGGTAGAAATCACAATGGTTTCAGTGTATATTTTATTACTATTATTAGAAATCGTGAGTTTATGGTTTAGGGATTACTGAGGCATCTTTGATCGCAATTTAGTAAGGGACAAGGGGTGTTAACGATTAGGGATCATTAAACTAATCCCGTCCTCAGAAAAAGTACAGAACGCAACAAGATTAGTACACAAACTTATCCAAACTTAGAAAATAATTAAAGAAAACCCACACAGAGATATTATGTTTTGTTTTTAGTATCTTACACTAAATAAAATGAATCCAATGACCAAGTAGTCAGTAGTATAACACCTTATATTTAAATCGCACAGTTTACCTTCCAAACCGAATATTTATTCAGAAAATTAAACGTTTACTTAACTCAAGATGATCTCCAAATAACGTTTCTTTAGTGGAATTTCTTCAAAATCAACTTGTTTTGTTAACAAAATATTAGCTTGACGAGTTAAATTCATTGGCTATAGTTTTACAGGATTAACAGGTTGGTACACAACAACAATACCAGTGTTAACAGCTGATCGTATACTTGTAATCCATTTACTTATTTAATACGCAAGCAGGGTTTTTGTGACAATTACTCCTCCGAAACTACTGAACCGATTGTCATGTTTTTGGTGTCATTGGAAAGGGCGTAACGTGAAGTTGTGCAGGAATATCTTTTTAGGGAAATAATTAGAGATTGAGGCCCTGGAGCCCTTTAAAGTTTCGTATTTCTCCATAAGTTAAACATGGGAAACAAACATTGTTATGAAACTTCAGCTGTTGTCAGAAATTAAAAGTCTTTACAACCAACATGAAGAACATATGTTAATTGTAAACAGTCAATAAGTTTGCTAATTTAACAGTTTGCTACAAAATTTTACTGGCTTGGTTGAAATGAAATAGTTATTAAATTACTATTTGAATTTGGGTTGGCGTAAATATTACAATGGAAAAAGCGAGAGAGCGAATTCGAGCAACAGGTACACTAGTGATTTTAAATTCGCAATTATGAATCAAACTTAGCCTACATTTAGGTTTGCCATATTGGAAGGTGCATACGATCTTGACTATAATGCCGGGCAAGATACTAAAGCCCGGTACAATGTAGTATAGTTCTGTAACCCTTGCTATTGGAAACGCCTAACTTATTGTAAGTGACTGCGTAGCTTTACAAGACCAG